GGGCAGCTGAGACACCTCCATCTGGCTAGCTGCATGACAGCACGTTTTATCAAAGAGCGTAATGACTATTTGCTGCTATTTGGTTATGTAAACCATGTGTTCAAGCATTCATTTGTAGCTTTTTCCTCACTTCCTTGGAAAGCCAGAAGCTATAGTTTTAGTTAGCTGAATTCCCTCGTGTGCCCATGCCCTGCTTGCCCCTGCTCCCCACGCAACCCAGCAGCTCAAGGAGGAAGACTCCATTGTCACTAAAAATGTTCAGTTTCCATGGCGATAGGAGCTGACATCACCAGAACTTTCTCCACTCTCGCACACTCCCTCCCCCAATCATCTTCAACACTGTTTTTTTAGAAAATATTATAAAAATCCCAAAACAACAGTCCTAAGTCAACACTCTCCTTCATTGTTCCCCTTGGAGCTCCTAAAACTGAGCAAGGTAATTTGGGTTGAAGAATGCAAATACCCTAGTGCGCACAAGCAACCAGGGCTGCAGATTCAGCTTGCTGGTGCTCTAGTTCCCAACTGTTCACTGGCAACAGGAGGTTGAAGGTTCTCAGACGTTTCAAGCAGATTGTGCTCATCACTGTCTGTCCTGGTGAGAGTCCCTCTTCCCCTACTTTTGTGATTAGGTCTTGTCTGTCATCATTTATTTCCCACAGTGATGGGTGTCTTTGGAGAGCTTGACTTGAGGCAACTTCAGAGGGTAGCTTCCTAAAGTTAAGAGCCTACTATATTTTGGAAGTTGGGGTAATGCAAACACCAATCATATTGGAAATGTCAGCCAGCATCTATACACGCATGAATTAGAACAGTCACTTATTTCTGGGCTAGCATTTATCACTTTTTAAGCCAGGCAGTTCTCTAGCAAAAAAGTGAGCAATTTCTCCTGCTTGCTGTACTCTGTGAGGTAGTTGTGTTCACCTTTGATTGGAGACAATGACACTGTCCCTCTGGGAAGGGAGATGTCCCTTTACGTGATTCTGTCCTGAGGGTTCCCATGCAAGGAGTGAATTCTTGCAGCCTGCCTGGCCTTGGGGGCATTAATTCCACTGGGGGAGTGGTTGTTGTGCCTCTCTTGAGCCAAGTGCTGTAATTAACTATCTGTGGTGGGAATGATGTCTGTCTCTGCCCTCTTCTGTGTCATCCCTACAACATGTTCTGATAAGCAGTTTACTTGTGTAAATAGGGAAGTAGGTTAAGGGAGAGAGTACTTCACTATGTGGCTGGGGGGATGATTGTGATTACAAGTATGTGCCCAAAGTATGTCCAAAATCTTTCCTTAACTACTTGCTGCTTGGAGTCCAATGGCTGAGGAGAGGCTGGTCTGTCTTTCAGAGAATGCCCCATCTTTGTCTTTCTTCATTGTCACGCTGGAGCTTGACACATAGATCTTGTAAGACATCCCCCCCCCCCCCCTTGCCTTTGATGGGAGGAATGGTATGACTTATATATTTTGGCATTTTGAAATATACTTGCAATGTTTTTTAACAGCTTTTAAAAGTGGTGGACATCAGAACAAGACACAGTACTCCATATAGCTGTTTCAGTGCCTTCAGTGGTAATGCTGTCTCTCTATTTCAGCCTGACTAGTTCCTACAGCCCAGCATTGCAGTAGCCCATCTAATCAATCACAGCATCTCCCTATCAATTCATTCAGCTGCTTTCTCCATTGGCTCCAAGCTTGTTTGATTGGGGATTTTTTCCCCCTCGGTCTCCTCTTCTGAAGAGAGAAAATCCCTTTCTCTTAGTAGAAACAGCAAACTGTTCCTAGATGTATGCTGTTCCATTTGTTCACACTGGAATACATATTATTTGCATTTCCAAAGCAGTTCATACTGTTCTATGTTGCTGACTTGTCCTCTTCATTTCTTCTCTGTTCTCCCAAAAATATGCTTCAACTGCAAAATCCATCAGTGATTTTTTTTTTTTTTTAAATTTTCTGCCAGGTTGTGATAAATAAATAAAGAATAGAGCAGCAAGAATTGTGCATTACAGAAGTGCATCTGCTCATGAATGAGTCCCCATTTACTGTTGCATGTGAGGTTTATTACTTAGCCAGTTTTTCTCCAGCTAATGTTAATGTATGTCATGATGATTTCATGTCATTCCAGCCATATCAACATAATTACTTGTCTGAACTGGACTTGTAATCTCATAAGAAATTATAGCACATTAGTTTGATGTCTATTTTTCCTTAAACCTGTGTTGATTGCCATTAATTTTATTACCCACCTTTAATCTGTAATCTATCAAAGATGCATATTGGCGATTTCATTACTGTACTGTGATCAGCATCAGTCCAGTCAGCCTATTGCTATCACTGTGTTTCTAAAGTACTGGCACAACATCAGACTTTCTTTGACCCTTGGATGCTTTCCCAGTTTTCTGAGACTAATCAAAAACCATCAGTACTGGTCCAGATCTTTTCTGTCCATCTCTCTTGAAACTTTTGGATATAAATCGTACAGGCCTGCTTATCTTAGAATATCGCTATTTTGG